ATTTTCCCCATGAAATACTTGACCTGTAGCATTGATTCCCATGTGTAGCATCAAGGACATTTGCTGCATGCTTATCTCGGGCTCAGGCAGCATTTAACAACACACCTGCATCTACCTAGAGACTCCATTTGCCAGACAAACACAGACATCTGTTACTGCACAAGTCACTATATGTGGCCACCCGTGACCACGCACAGAAAGTCTGCAAGCGAAATACCTACAATTACGAAGGAAGTATTGGTTGTTTCTCACACACACAAGCTCAGCAGGGCATCCTGAGTTACTGAGCTGAGCACTAGCACGCTGGCACCCTGGTGAGATGCTTGAGGAGCTGCTGCTGAGCAGGAAGGTGTCGGCTGGGCAGGGGCGGTGGGGATGGGGGAGCCGGGCGTGAGAGCTGGCCCTGGGCGCTGCCAAACTGCACTCATGCAGTGATTTGGATTCACCGATGCTGTCGACACTGACGAGCTGACTGCCAGCCAGCTGTGGGTGTGACACCCTTCATTTCTTCCCGATTTCCTGCCTTTTCGTGGTCACGTTTCACTCTTGAATCCCTAAGCTACCAATAAATCGCCCTATCAAAACAATGCGACTTCAGCCTGTAATTTTACCTCTCCTTTTTTTCAAGATGCTGTCTCTCACAGCAGCACCATTCCCAAAACCTGAGGCAGGGTCAGGCAGCTGTTCCAGGGACCCAGGGAAATGGCACGGGGGTGAGCGGGGAAGGTACCGGCTGGTTACGGTGAGTGCAAGCTGAACGGCGGAGGGGCAGAGAGAATTTTCAGGCATGACAAGAAGTCATGGGGTGTTTGTTGTTGTTTATAGTAACAGAAAAACAACGGCGTTTCTCGGTGACTCAGGAGCAGCGACCACAGTGAGCAGAGGAGGACACTGGTGCAGGCGAGCATTGGGAGGTGTCAGATGTGGTTACCTTAGGAAGGGCCTACAGAAAAGAATTAACTACGTAACTACACCTTCAACTGGCAATTTAATTTGTTCTCTAATTGAGGAAAATAGTCCTTTAAATAAATAGGCAAGCAGATGGTGATAAACAAGGGATTGCAAGATATTTCCTGCAGGTTTCAGGACTCTAAGGCAATGGAAACTGTATGGGAAACAGATTAAATGGAGGAAAAAAAACCCAATAAAGGTCTGCCTTTCATTTCACCGTGAGATCCACCAGTGACTTGTGTTATTATTACCTATCAAACAACAATAGCAATTTAGTAGCATCTTTGTTTATTCCACCCAACTGCAGAATTTAATCTACCTCGAGAGCTACTGCCACTGGCATTCCTTTCATTCCAACACAACATTTTAACATAACATCCTTATGAAACAATTTTTTAAAACCTTGAAGCCAAGAGATGCTAACACATTTCATAGTTGAAAAACAAAGTGAATAGTGTTGCCTCACACAATAAGAGAACTTTTTACAAAACAGATTTAGTTGCAGACTTTATGAATCTAAACTCTTTCTTTAGCCAGAAGCATCACGAGTCTGAGATATTTTAGAAACGCAGCAGCAATTGTGTGAGTTTTCTTAAGATAGAAACCAACCAACTTGAACAGCTTTAATGCTATTTCTACAGACCAGTTTCCTTAATGTTGTTGCAGTTACATATATCACTAATTTTATATCCAGTAAAAAACAGAAACATTTTATTCATTCTTGCAAACAAAAGTCCTAGGGAAGAATTAATAAAGTAAGTAATCTGTTAATCTGAAAAAGAAGTTAACAGATTACATTATTACATTTCCCTCAGAATTAAATCTCAGTATTTAAACGTGTACGTCAATCTAAATCATGTAACTTCAAATGAAATTTAATTGGCCATGCAATCTATTACATATTTGCCACATGTAATCAGTATTTCTGATTTTGACGTAAACAGTTGCATTATCTAGAAAGTGTCATGTGGCAGAAATATTTCCAAATAAAAAGCCCAAATAAATAAAAGGGCCCATCAACTCTGTTCCTAGAGTTTGATTAATTAAAGAGCAGCAACAAGCCCCAAGCCCCCTACCCACTTCCTGGAAATGGCTTGTCGGTGTGGAAGCCAGCACAGGCATTATCGCTGGGGAGTGCTAGCAGAAGCCCCCTGCCCAACTGAGATCCCAAGACAGGAAAAAGGGAAAGCAGCATTTTTATAATGCAGTTACCAAGTTGCTCATAAAAAATGAAGCATGTGCATGGAAATAATAGATTAAACTCTTAAATGGATCCTTGTGGTATGCTTTTTTATAGTCACACAGATCTCATTTTGATCAAGACCCCTCCTTGTGAATTTAATTACTGTCTAATCCAGCCTTAGATGCAGCTGTGTTCTCACTGCTGGGGTCTCCAGGCACTGCAATACCAATAAAGTAAGAAAAGGTTTCACGATTTACTTTAGGTGCATGTTTTTATTGTTAATATGTTCCTTTGCTAAAAAAAGAATTTGCTTTCTGCCTTTCACCACCAGCAACCGCAACGAGCAAAATCTGTAGCAATTCTACCTATTTTTTTCAGAGAGCATTTCATTAATATCCTTCTGTTTAAATATGCCAGTTTCAAGCCAGTGCTTGTTACCATTTTAAATAAGCAGCAACTTATAATGCCAATGAAAACTAGTACGCTTTAAGCTGTTAGACTCTCAAACTCAATTTTACTTGACAGGTGTTCATAGTCTCTAATAGAATTTTTGCAAATTCGAGGCTTTTCCCCTCTGCCTTGTTAAAGCTTGTTCACTGCTTTCTCAAAATACATGCATCTCACATCTGAAAAGCCTAAGAATCAACATTTCATGTACAGAAACAACTCAGATTTAATGCAAGATTTACACCAGATTTCTCAGTGAAAGTCAGGGAAGCAATGAGGAAAGAAATCCCACGCATGTGATGGTATGAGCATTTTCTTATTTTAAACCAAGGACACAGCCGTATCTATCCTGAACTCATCTGGGCTAGGCTGACATACAGCATCAACTCCAGCTCAGACCTGCCTACAGGCTCACTCTCTCTGCATCTTGATCTTAAGGAAAAAAGCTATATAGTTATATTTTCTATTAAGCACATATGCCAGGCACATGCTTTCCTCTTCCCCTGACTCATAATTGTATTAAGCGCAAAGCATTAATTTTTTTTTCTTTCTTCATGACTTACACATCCCAAAAAGTTATCCTTGTTAACAACAATCCCTTTAAAAAACAAAGGAACCCCCCTCAACCTTGCCCGGGTCAAAACCCTAATCTAATGTAACACACCCAAAATATTTCGATAAGTAGTAGGAAGGACTCGAAGTGTGGGAATTAAAAGCAGAGCATCTACAAAAGCAAATGGCCAAAGTTCTCCTCAGTATCCAGTGAAGGGAAATTCAGACCCAGATCAGTCTGACTGGACACCTGGGGAATTCCACATGCAGACTCACTCAAGACTGCACGAGTGTGCTGCCGTTTTCCAAGGCACAAGACACAACGGCATTTCTGCTCTCACCTTACCCCTCCAGTTGTGTTCTGTGCTAGTATGGTCTACAGACAGACTCACAGATGTATTTACTCATCTTCTGGCAATTACAGCTAGGGTTTAGCTCCTGCATGTTTATTTACAGGCCTGCTTGCACACACAAGCAAAGACGTTACTGATTTTTTTACCCTCCTGAACCACAGAATAGCCACCAGATGCACCTCGTGCATACTGCTCAAGCTGTTCCAAACTCCTTTCACAAAGGCATTACGGAAAAACAGTAAAATTAACAAACCTGCCCTATGCAGTCCAGGTATCACTATAGGGAGGGCTGTCAACAAACCTGGTCTCAACTTCAGCTTACCTCTCAGTTTGATTTTAAAATCAAATCCAAGCCTTTCTTCCTGCCAGTCATTCCCTCGGCTTCACTACATAAATTACTCCCTGATCTCACTTGAAGTGAGAAAATCAGAAAGCACAGAGACTTTAACTTTAGGGGAGGAGTTTCTCCCCCCACCTCTGACTTTTTCAGTCAGCAACTTCCAGTTACACAAACACAGCTCTATACTCTTTTGGGCAAAGACTAAGCAAGATTTCTCAATGGCAGGCTGATAGAAGTTCTAAGAAAGCAGAGGGTGTTCTGTTCTTCTCTATCACTAAAATCTGCACGTCAAAATTAAAGGATCTCACAGTCTGATCCAACCTTAAAAAAAAAAAAAGGCATAACAAAGTAATGTAGTATTACAAATTTATTTAGCTTTGTCAAAGTAGTTTTTCAGCATTGAAAATTTCACACATATAAAACAACTTCAACTTCTGTGCATTAAAACCAAAGTATGGATTATTTTTTAAATTTAAAGGAAGTGCTGTGCTTTATTTTTTTTTCTTTTTAAACATCTCATGAACCAAATTCTTCAGTTATAAAGTTGATAAAAATAAGTGATGTAACACCACATTTTCTTCTTTAATATGTGAAATTCATCTCTTTTGGAAACAAGATTTTACTATCTTTTTAAAACTGTATCATGAAAGATACAGACCTGAAAAAGAATAAACAATCATACACAAGGCATAGACATCACACAGAGTAATTCAGACATTTTATAAAGAGATTTCAAAAAGTACCTAAAATAGTGATATTTTAGTATAAAATTTCAATAATAAAATATTGCTCATAATAAATAAGAAAACATGAGTTTCATTAATACTGTTCTCCTCTTAAAGCTTTCTTGAATGTAACATGATCAGACCTGATGAAAATTCAAATTCATATTTTTCCTTTGTATGCAGGTGTACAGGCTTCAGGTCATTCTTTGTTAGAAACGATTTTATTAACAACAAAACACAGAATTCATTTCAAGGCTCATGCGTAGTTATGGACAAAAAAAAAAAATATCCCTAAGCGTGAATAAACCTTATTACAGTTGATTTTAATACCTAAAATATTTGCCTTTTTTGTTAAAACCAAAGTGGAATAAGACTTCTCATGGATTATGAATGCAAAGAGAAAGCTGCTCAAGTTTCCTCAAAAGCTTCTAAATATCTGTGCAGCTGCACAAAGCCGTTAGGGAAAGTTGGGTCTATAGGGGGACAGGAGTTGTGTCCCTTTATATGGGGACATTTGATTTCATCCCGGCTCGTCCCATCTGTAGACACGGCAGTTTGGAGTAGTTCTTTAGCAGCTGCTCAATAGCAATGTGACGGACGTTGAGCTCCGAGGCCAGAGAATCCTTCTCCTGGACTTGCTGCGTCAGCTCTTCAAACACATCTGCAAGAACATCATCAGGTTAATGCGCTTGGCTCCCGTACTTTGACAGAGTTAAGAAGCAATGTTGTGTATTACAAGGGAAGAGGCCCACACATTTAAGTGGGCTCATGCGCAAGTTCACCACTTTTTCTGATTCCAGCACAGCCTGGTGTAGGCACTGCAAACTGAACAGGATCACCAGGTTATGGTTTTAGGTGATCTGAGACAAGATGTATCAGTTTACAACTTGAAGTTGAATCTGACTCTACCAGACACAGAATAGCCAGCAGGAGCAGGGAAGGGATAGTGGTCCTGTACTTGACACTTGTGAGGCCACATCTTGAATCCCGTGTTCAGTTTTGGGCCTCTCACAAGAAAGACATCGAGGTGCTGTCCAGAGAAGGGCAACAAAACTGGTGAAGGAGCAGCTGAGGAAACTGGGGTTGTTCATCCTAGAGAAAAGGAGGTGAGGGGAGACTCTCTTGCTCTCTACAACTACCTGAAAGGAGGTTGCAGTGAGGTGGAGGTTAGCCTCTTCTCTCAAGTAACAAGCAGTAAGACAAGATATAGCCTCAAGTTGCACCAGTGGAGGTTCAGACTGGATATGAGGAAAAAATTCCTCACTGAAAAGGTTATAAAACATTGGAACAGGCTGCCCAGGGAAGTGGTTGAGACACCACTTCTGGAGGCATTTAAACGACATGCAGATGTGGTGCTTAGGGACGTAGTTTAGTGGTGGGCTTGGTGGTGCTAAGTTAACAGTTGGACTCAATTTTAAAGTCTTCTCCAACATAAAAGATTCTATAATTCTAGCCAAAAAAATTAAAGAAAAATACTGTAGTTTTCAAGTGCCAGTTTGCAACACTCAAAGAGGTTACAAAATAAAAGGACACAGAAGTTTCTTGTTTTATGTGGAAACATGATTATAGAGAAACTTCACTTCAAAACTTAACTGTTAGGAAAGCCATCACAATTTCTTTTTTTCATCAAGGTTTTCTTCATTACAAAGCAACACACCCCCAAAACAAAAAGTACTGAAAAATTCTCACCCTGGATTTGCTTGAGCAGTTTTTCATTAAGTTGCTTTAACTCTGCAGGAGTCATCACAGTCACTGTAACAATAAAATCTGTTATTATTACAGACATCACATAAGCAAGTATCTCTAGGCAGACTCCCATTTCTCCAGTTGTCATCATCTGCATCCTAATATAATCAGCAAATGTATGGCAGTAAGTCAGAGGCAACATTATGTATCAGTCATCTGTGGAAAGTTTGAAAACTCTGTTTTATACTGACATAGACAAGGATTTATTCCATCAGAAAGCCCCCTCTTCAGTGTCAAAAAACTGGAAACTCAGGCACTTCAAACAGTAGTGTCTAGCATCAGAATTGCTTGTAAACTGCTCCACACATTTAAATACTTTACCTTCCTCTACCTGCAAAACATAATTTCCATGGTGTAACCTCTGCAAATACATGTTTAACTGCAGGCAAGTGGAGGATTCTGAGGTAAGTCTTGCTACATTTGCAAGCCCACAGGAAACAGCTTCCTGACAGAATTTTCATCAGGCAGCTGCTTCGGCTATCAAGTTTTGGGCTTTAGCCATAAATAGGTAATGTATACAGTTCTCACTGAGTACCTCAGTGACAGACGATGCATTAGAAAACCCAACAAAAAGATCTTAGTTCGATACAAAGACCGACATAGAAAAGCAGATTTACTTTTCACTTTCCTGTGCTATGTTCCTAGTGAGAACTAAAAAAATCCTCTGCAACATTCAAAAGCCCTTCTATGTCTCAGGTTACATTTACATTGATTATCCTCACAGAAAATATATATTAAATCTCAGAGGAAGGACTAGTGAAAGTATTCTACACTGCCCTCGATCAACAGCAGCAAGAAGGGAAATGCTTGCCTGCTTCCTAGAAATCCCTCAAGCCAGCAGTGGTGGGCACAGGTTGGTGCTGTGCCTGTGACTGAAACACCCTCAGCAGCACAGTGAAAAGTGACAATCCTAATCACTGTGGGAGGACACAGGGTACCGAAACAAGCTTTAAGACCTTGTAATTTTTAAATATCGTTTTTAAACAATGATGCAGCTTAAAGCTCTCACTGCCTATTTGAGAAAAACCTAGGCTGCAATTGCACAGCTTTTGTTCAAAGATTCTGCAGTGCAAGGGGATTCTACACTGAATTTAAAGCCTAAGTCCTGAAAAGGATGGTTTTTTACCTACTCACAGGACTCATTTGACTATCTTAAGCCTTCTTTTTCAAACTTTCAACTGCCAGTATTGCCAAACCAAAGACAGTGGCAATAGCTAAGATAACCTACTTGTTGCTCAAAACATAAGGGCCCCTTAAAAGTGGAACAGATTTGCCATTCTCCTCCACCAGCCAGGTACAGCGGTGCTCCTTCCTATCTCTCGCTATCAAAACTCAGGATTCCTTTCTTCCATCTTACTACCCTCTAAACTCCATGAAAACCCTGACTGGATTTAATCTAGTAATTGACAGCTTTATAAAAATGTCAACATTTTTTCGCCCGTTTTATACCCATCAGTATGATGTTACTTCCCATTTCTCCACTATTTTCATCCGTGTTTCATCAGCTGTAACAGGTACGCAAGTTCATACGTTTTGTGCGTATGTATTAGGCCAGGACTGTTTCATGTCATATAATTCTGACACAGAATGGAAAGGGAGAAGGAACAGAGTATCAAATTTAAGTGATAAAATATTATTCTATCCATAGCTGAGGTAAACTATAAATAAATACTGACCAAGCTATTTATAGTTACATTACCAGTAGTTTTTTTAGTAGACTGCTATGTTGTTACAGTGAAGGTACTGCATTAAGAAGGTACCTAATTCTAGCGATAAAGTGTAAGTTTTCCTCTAAAATACAAACTTTATATAACTAGAGTCTCCAAATTAATGTCTTTTAAAGCTAAATACTGCAAAAATATTAAATAAATACTTATAATAGAAAGCAAAAATGCCTCAAAAGTGCATTATGCAGTCGTAACACAAGAAATAAATCTGTGACCATGCTAACTTCACTAACTTCAGTTAGATAACCCCCATAAACCAGGTCAAGCTTTCATAATTCCTGTTAACTGCTGTCCTGATTTATGTAATCCCAATTTATGACTCCAGAGGACAGGTGGTCAAATAGAACAGCACATCTGTTTTGATTTATGGCTTTAGGACTACTAATTTGCTAAAAATGCAAGACGAAGCATCATAGAGCAATTAAATCCTTTCGTAAAGAATGAGAAACGACTGAACTTAAAGGACAGGTTTGTTAGCTTGGTAAAAAAAACAAAAAAAGGAGCCTAAAGAAATCAATTCCAACTTTTTACAGTACCTCTCCTCTTTCTCACCCTACCTGCTGACATTCCCAATTCCATTATTACCTTGCTTTTCACCACCTAATCTTCCACTTACTATTTTTTTGTCTTCTTTCTCATTTTTTTTTGAAATTCAGAAACCACCTACAATTACTTTCCTCATCTACAAAAGCAAGAGTGAGTGCTCTGCTCAGAGCAGCTCTGCACAACAGAACTCAAGGCACCACACAAGTTCTTCAGGAGCTCCACAGGCAGGGCTGTGCAACTGCCAGGACTGATGTACTGAAGTGACAGCAATCAACTGCAACAGTAACTTTTTTTGTAAGCTAGCCATGTTCCCTATCACATCCGATATAACTAACAGGAAAAACAAACCAAAAAACACCAAAACATAAAAAAGCCAATCAAAGCCCTTGCACCAAGCAAACCTGCCACACTATTTGCTTAGCCATGTAGCCTTTATCTTCACAGATTTTACAGTAACTCCAAACTGTTAAGAGCTGGAGATCAGGATGTGAATTCATGCCTGTGAAGGCATTAAGTGGTCAAGAGATATTTCAAGAATGCTTGCTAGGTTGCACATAAAGAGACAAATACTTACGTTCTTCCCTGCTGTACTGAGGATGCCTCCTACGAACACTGGTAAGTGAATCACTTTGGGCTTTCTCGGCTTTCTGGACTTGTTTGTGATTAGGCCACAACACACTGCTGCAACAGAAGGTAGCACCTGTTTCTTGTAACACACCAAGTCCGAAATCAGTGGATTCTCTTTGTTCCAAAAGAGTTTGTGAGCAGCTTGAGATGCCTCCAGAATTCCCATCTATCCATTTTGCAGAGTACCTTGGTACTGGGGAGTCAAACTGTGGGAGTAATTTTCTATCAGTCTGGTGCCTGAAGTTAAAAAGCTGATGTTGGGATGTTTTTGAGCTTTCGGGATCAGAGTCTAAATCCTTGTTTTGTGCGTACTGTATGATCCAGTTAATCTTCTTGCTCAAGATATTTTTTACTTCTGCATATGGACTTTTAGAGAGTTTTGATCGTGGACAGTCCTGATTTGCTATTAAGTGGAACTTTTCAAAGCAGTCTCTGTGTCCCCTTATAGATCTTGTATGTAGAAGATCTGACTTTGGTACTCCTGTAAAGACACAACAGGAAAAAGTTTACTTATCGTATACTCAAGTAATTCTTCAAAATCTGTACTCATAAGCAACCAAGAAAACAAAAGCTTAACTGATGCTTTCCTATTAACAATGTAATCGCTTAAGTAATCAAGTATATATGTGATGCTCCAGAATCTTTGAAATTCCACTCAGTCCTGAGTCCTTAGCATAAAAAGTGTTTTACACATGGTAATCTCTAGTGCAGGATTTACATATTAACTGCACCTGCCTCTTGGATGATAATGCAGATGAAGCAAACTGCTAACTCTCTGCACATTGCGTCATACCTACACACATATGTATAAACTGTAGAATTAAAATAATCCCAACTATATATCACAAAGTTCTATAGAGCAATACTGAAAAGCATTTTGAGAGTAGTCATCAATGTTCCTCCTATCTTCTATGGGTAACGTTACAAGCTGTCTGCTCAACAAGTACTGCAGTGCGTGCACTTGTGTCATCTAAGCGGTGAAACACAATTCAGACTTCAGTCTCAGTTTATTATTTTTCATCAGTATCTGCCTATAGTCTATATAGAGAAGCAGGTTCTAATACTGTTGATACTTCCACATTAAACTGTTCTTAACTTCATGCAAGATGCTTATTCTCTTTGCTTGTCGCCCTTCCTTCAAAGACTATTCAAATAGCTACAGCAGGTAACTTAACTCAAACCTCAGAGTAATTGATTGTGATTGACATGTTAAAAAGGAACACAATCTGTGAAGATCTGCAGTTGGTGAGTGAACATAGATGGTAGGAGAAATTACTGTTTCAGAAAGTTAGTAGTACTCCAGTAGCAAATTACTTTCCGCAACTTCAGTGGATAATTTTTTCTTCGGATTCACCTACGCAATAGATTCAGTATCCAAGTTCAGAACACTGAATAGTTCGACATTTGTCTCTCAGGATGTCACTTGTGAGGTTCCCAACAGAATAAAAAACAATTTTGTCAAACAAGTTCCTCACTGCAAATAAATTACACACCTATGAACTGCTGGTTGAAAGTGCTTAACGCTTACTAGAGCAAAAAAATTTAAATCAACATATGATAACATAATTTGATCTTTGAAACTAGGTGACACGAACCAAGCTGCAGGCATTTTACCTTTCAGCACAAAAGGAAGTATATAAAAGTGCTTAAACTAAAAGAAAAAACATGAAAAGCAACAGGGAACAAAATCTGGTAATACAGACTGTAACAAGCACTTAGCATAAAGCCATGTTACAAGAATTCTTAGTTATACCTTCTTAAATTCTTGCAATAAACTTTAAGCTCCCCGTCCCAAATGATTAACAAATGATAAGCTGATTACTTAAGTGACTAAATTCTCCAAAATCCCAAATCCAAGCTACAAAAGTAAAATTCTTAGCATGAAACTAGCAAAAACAAATCCAAGCACTTAATTCTGATTATCTCACTTGCTGGTAACTGGCATTTCAAGTTGAGAAGTTCCCACACCAAGGGTAGTCATGACAAATTTTTACTTTCCACTCTTTGGGCAGTGTTGAAACTCAAAAGCATTATCATTCTGGTCCAGTTTGTAAGAGCATACACAAAATTTATGGGGCAAAATGACAAGGAGAGTGGAAAACACAAGAGGAGAGCAGTGGAACTTATTTTGTTCACAGCAGCAGGGGAGGATGGTAAGGTCATGAAAACACACTGCTCCTGTCCATGAACTAAGTGTCAGAACAAACGAAAAGCACACCCCAATCAGAGGCATCTTTTAAGAAGGAAGTTCCCAAGCAAAGACCGAAAACACATGTTGTCTTCATGGGAAGAGAATCAAAATTCTCACTCTATACTCAAAATAGCTTTCAAGCTCTTTCAGCAAACAGACATTCCCTAACTTTTTTTAAGCTCTACATTATCTACTGCCTGCTTGCAATGCTATTTTTCCTCTCTATCTTTACAGACACTTAAAAATCCCAAAACAAACATTTCTAGTAAAAACACGGAAAGACAAGTCACTTGTTTTTGTGGCTTACCAGTACAATTAAACATAGCGAGTCTGCTTAACTCAAGTAGCATGACAGAAACCCTCAAATCTTTAAGGCATCAACGTCAGCTGAAGTTATAAGGCTTATATTCACAACACTGCAACCCTACGAAAGCAGATTGATTTGTTCAACACTATTTGCTTTACCTGAGTAATCCTTCAACAGGCTCTGCTGATGCTTGCAGTGCTTTCTTTTACCTACAGAAAACATTATCAGATTGGCTGAGAAACAAGTTTTACACAATTTTCTATACAATATGGCTCAGGAATCCACCTAACAATTTGACCTTAAGATGAATGAACGAAGTCAACACCTTCTGATCATAGGACAGAGCAGTCCTGTCCAAAGCAAATACTTGAAGATTTGGTGAAGAAGGAAGAGAACTGCAGAAAGCACAGCTAGTAAATCTAGGAGAAATGCAGTTTTGTACAGATTGTTTCTAGTTTGTGGCTCTTAATAGGTACTAACATCTGTTTTGCTCTCAGGGTACCAATCATCTCCCAACTAAGAAAAAAAATACATAAAATCAAACATACCTACCATTTTCACTTTATCCCCAAACTAGAAAAGGAACTACTGCACTGTTTCTATTAAAAACAGAAAAACCGAACCTTGCAAGTTTAATTAAGTATTCCCAGAGCTGGTTATAGAGGCATTGCCTAGAACCATTTTTGTTATTTCAAAAGGCTAAGTTTTGCTATTTATATGCCACATATTAACCATAATGTCACTATTTCTGAGCACAGAGCAAGCTATTATGAAATATGCCCAGTTTAGAAGAATAAACATTCCTCCCCAACCAGAATTTGCATCCTTCCTCATCTCTTACTCTACTGAAAAAAAAAAAAACAAAACCAAAATACTTTTCAACACATAAGAACAATACAGGAACAGAAAATGTACAAAATTAAACCATTTTTCTACAGAATTGCTAAGAGACTTGCTTCAGCTTTCACATATCTGTAACAAACATATGCAAAGAAAAAACATGCCCAAATCCAAACCACCCTGAAATCTTCCTTTTGTACTGAGGCTACAATTAGTCCTTTCCTATACAGAGGACGTGAATAACATCAGCCTCCAACCTTCTGGAACTGCACTCCAAGAGCAGGGCATTCACAGCAGCTGCTGTGCCAGCACAAACCAGTAACAACATAGTCTTACAGCAAGTAAGAGAACATTTCTTTGACACAATTCCCTCTGTTATAGGCAATACCATCAACCTTTATGAGGCAGAAAAGACGCCTTTCTTTTTGGTAAGATTTAATAGTCCCCTCAAATTACTTAATTTTTTTTTTCATCACAGCTGCAGAAAAATCTATCAGCTGGTAAACTGGCATGGATCACACATGGACGATTCCGTTTTAGATGACCCATTATTCAGCACTATACCCAAAGAGATGAATAAAGCAAGGTAAGACTTCTGCACAGTACAAGAAGTAATACTGTGATTTTGATGAACAGCTATTGTCAGTTCTGGGAGTTTTCAGAGCGTTTGAGTTCTGTCTCAACATTCCTGCTTGCTAACATCCATTTCACCATTTTTAATTTTTGGCTGTTTATTCAAGTCAGCAATCACACAACCATCAATAATTTTTCCTCCTACATTTGTAGGTATGTGTACATATGTCCCTTGTCTTACTTTTCAAGGACAGGATTGCAGACAATGCCCAAGTATGTCCTACCCTTTATATTTATTTTTTCAGAGAAGGAAAAAGAACTGCAAAAAGCCCACATCCATGCAGAGCAGGCAAGTTTCATCTGCAGGGAAAAAAACCCACCAAAATTTAAGTAACATCTAGAAGACTATATCTAACTAAAGACAGCAAACGCTAGTAGGAAAAAAGTTCACTCCAGAGACCATTCCTCAAGTGAACAATAGTAAGTGTTTACCATTCATTATTTATTTCTGATTCTGGTAACTCCTGTGTCCTAGATGAAATACGAATGGTGTCACTTTACTCAGAAATATCTTTGTAGGTTGAGCACTTGTAAGAATGAGGCTATTTGTTTAATAGCTTAGTATTTAGGCAAAAAAACCTCGCCAAAATACTGAATATTTCAATTTGTAAACTATGCAAGGCAGAAACTCTTCCTCCATACTGGTAGTTTTCAGCACACTGGGTCCTAATTCACTCCTGCAAAATAATTTTGAAAATGAATGATGACCAATCAGGCAATTTGTAAAGCAGTATCCATTTTGTAACTTCTAGTTAATCATAAGCGCAAAGCAGTGGAGAGTAGGAAGAATATTTACCATACAACCAGGTGTGTAATTGCATCTCAATAAATTCTACAAATAAATTTCAAGCATTTGTACTTGAAAGTAAATCAGTTTCCACCAGACTAAAGTTCTGGATTTTGGGGGGTAGGTTTTTTCTTTTTTCTTCCTGAAGGGGAAAAGTCTACAATGCCTGTATTTCTGCCTTTCCAATTGATTCACTGAGAACTATGGATAACTTTTCTTCATGATAAAAGATACAAAACTAAACTGAAATGTTTGGTCACACTTAAAAAGCTGGCTACAATAGCTGTCGTATTTGGAGATTATAATAAACAAGTTAAATTCAAAAGGAATTACAAGACTACTCCACATCCCTTCACAAACAAATATTTTAATTTTTTTAAAAAGTGATTATTAGCCTGCATGTTTATCTTCCACTGTGGTTTCCCCCTCCCATTTGTTTGTTATACTTTAAAAAACTACCAAACTTCTTATTTGGTCTTTCAGCTCCATCAGTTGGAAATAATGTTAAAGAATGCCTGGATACCCTTCTTAACAATTTATAATGCAATGCTCAAAACTAATTGTTTTTGCAATGGTGAACAGCTTGAGCACCTGAAGAGGAAAAAAAACCACAGAATTTGAGTGAACTAAACAAGAATACTTGTAGACACATGAATAGTAAATTACAAGTTTGCACTACAACATTAAAGCCTTATTAAAATCTCTTTAAAGACTTCACAAATA